TATAGCACCATAATGTGTTCTCTCTAGCTCCAAGTAATGTGTTCTCTATAGCACCAAGTAAGTGTTCTGTCTCAGCACCAAGTAATGTGTTCTCTCTCTAGCACCAGTAATGTGTTCTCTAGCACCTACTAATGTGTTCTCTCTAGCAACGGTAATGTGTTCTGTCTCTAGCACTCAAGTAATGTGTTCTTCTCTAGCACTGTAAGTGTGTTCTCTCTCTATGTGTCTCTAGCACCAAGTAATGTGTCTCTCTCTAGCACCAAGTAATGTGTCTCCTCTAGCACCAAGTAATGTGTTCTCTCTAGCACCAAGTAATGTGTTCTCTCTAGCACCAAGTAATGTGTTCTCTCTAGCTAACCAAGTAATGTGTTCTGTCTCTAGCACGTAATGTGTCTCTAGCACCAAGTAAGTGTTCTCTCTCTGCACCAAGTAATGTGTTCTCTCTAGCACCAAGTAATGTGTTCTCTCTCACTGCACCAAGTAATGTGTTCTCTCTAACCAAGTAATGTGTTCTCTAGTACTGCACCAAGTAATGTGTTCTCTAGCACCAAGTAATGCCTTCTAGTACTGTACCAAGTAATGTGTTCTCTCTCTGCAAGTAATGTGCCTCTCTAGCACCAAGTAATGTGTTTCTGTAGTACAAGTAATGTGTCTCTAGTACTGTACCAAGTAATGTGTTCTCTAGCACCATGTAATGTGTCTCTAGCACCAAGTAATGTGTTCTTCTCTAGTACTGCACCAAGTAATGTGTTCTCTCTAGAGTGTTCTCTCTCTATGTACCAAGTAATGTGTTCTCTCTCTAGCACCAAGTAATGTGTCTTCTAGTACTGTACCAAGTAATGTGTTCTCTCTAGCACAGTGTTCTCTAGTACTGTACCAAGTAATGTGTTCTAGCACCAAGTAATGTGTTCTCTAGTACTGTACATAATGTGCTCTCTCTAGTACTGTACCAAGTAATGTGTTCTCTCTCTACAGTAATGTTTTCGCAACGCTAATGTGTTCTCTCTCTAGTACTGTACCAAGTAATGTGTCTCTCTAGCACCAAGTAATGTGTTCTCTCTATACCAAGTAATGTGTTCTTTCTAGTACCAAGTAATGTGTTCTCTCTAGCACCAAGTAATGTGTTCTCTCTCTTAGCACCAAGTAATGTGTCTCTAGCACCAAGTAATGTGTCTTCTCTACACCAAGTAATGTGTTCTTCTATGTATATGTTCTCTTCTAGCACCAAGTAATGTGTCTCTAGCACTCAGTAATGTGTTCTCTCTCTACCAAGAGGTTCTCTCTAGTACTGTACCAAGTAATGTGTTCTCTCTAGCATTTAATGTGTTCTAGTAGCACCAAGTAATGTGTCTCTAGCACCAAGTAATGTTCTTTCTAGCACCATAATGTCTCTAGTACTGCACCAAGTAATGTTCTCTCTCTAGCACAAGTAATGTGTTCTCTCTACTGCACCAAGTAATGTGTTTCCTCTAGCCCAAGTAATGTGTTCTCTTAACCAAGTAGTGTTCTCTGACTGCACCAGTAATGTTCTCTCTCCACCAAGTAATGTGTTCTCTCTCTAGCACCAAGTAATGTGTTCTCTCTAGCACCAAGTGTGTTCTCTTCAGCCCAAGGTGTCTTTCCACCAAGTAATGTGTTCCTCTCTAGCACCAAGAAATGTTCTCTTTCTAGCACCAAGTAATGTGTTCTCTCTCTAGTACTGCACCAAGTAATGTGTTCTCTGTACTGCACCAAGTAATGTGTTCTCTCTCTAGCACCAAGTAATGTTCTCTCTAGTACTGTACCAAGTAATGTGTTCTTCTCTAGCAACAAGTAAGTTCTCTCTCTAGCACCAAGTAATGTGTTCTCTCTCTAGCACCAAGTAATGTGTTCTCTCTCTAGCACCAAGTAATGTGTTCTCTCTCTAGCACCAAGTAATGTTTCTCTTCAGCACCCACACAGTTTGACCAAAACACAAACATTAATTCAAAATCTAAGACTTTCAACACTTTTTTCATTTTTAACAATATTGTATCTACAGTAAGCTAATATCACTAGCCCAGCTGAGTAATGAAGTTAAGCAAAAGTAAAGCAAAAGTAACAGAACATTTATCAGCTGTTAAAAAAATAAGCAAGTACAATACTATATGTTCCCCACAATGCTGTAGCTATAAATCAAATAATGTAGCTACAGTACAGTACAGTACATAAACAACATGTACAACTGTGTCAACACCATCAGTAGTGTAGCCTATAAAGTCAACTTTTCAAGATGGGATCTTATGTTAATCATTATCAAAGTGTTTAAAATACATTAATTCATCAAAAGCTTCTTCTTTTTAAATCAAGTCTCCTTTTATATAAATTATAAGTTGACAAGTGTTAAGAATCATCCAGTAGTGTTAAGTGGTGCCCCCCCTCACTGGCTACTGTAGTTCTCAGGTGTTGATGTAACAAGAGTGGCTGTCTCAGTGAACCCCAGACCCTTCAACTCTATCTGGCTGTGTATGGTTCAGGGGTGTAGTGCTGTATGGTTCAGGGGTGTAGTGCTGTGTATGGTTCAGGGGTGTAGTGCTGTGTATGGTTCAGGGGTGTAGTGCTGTGTATGGTTCAGGGGTGTAGCTGTGTATGGTTCAGGGTGTAGTGCTGTGTATGGTTCAGGGGTGTAGTGCTGTGTATGGTTCAGGGGTGTAGTGCTGTGGTATGGTTCAGGTAGTGCTGTATGGTTCAGGGGTGTAGTGCTGTGTATGGTTCAGGGGTGTAGTGCTGTATGGTTCAGGGTGTAGTGCTGTGTATGGTTCAGGGGTAGTAGTGCTGGTATGGTTCAGGGTGTAGTGCTGTGTATGGTTCAGGGGTAGTGCTGTGTGTATGGTTCAGGGGTGTAGTGCTGTGTATGGTTCAGGGTGTAGTGCTGTGTATGGTTCAGGGGTGTAGTGCTGTGTATGGTTCAGGGTGTAGTGCTGTGTATGGTTCAGGGGTGTAGTGCTGTGTATGGTTCAGGGTGGTACTGTGTGTATGGTTCAGGGTGTAGTGCGTGTATGGTTCAGGGGTGTAGTGCTGTGTATGGTTCAGGGGTGTAGTGCTGTGTGTATGGTTCAGGGTGTAGTGCTGTGTATGGTTCAGGGGTGTAGTGTGTATGGTTCAGGGGTGTAGTGCTGTGTATGGTTCAGGGGTGTAGTGCTGTGTATGGTTCAGGGGTGTAGTGCTGTGTATGGTTCAGGGTGTAGAACTGTGGCTGTGTATGGTTCGGGGTGTAGTGCTGTGTATGGTTCAGGGGTGTAGTGCTGTGTGGTTCAGGGGTGTAGTGCTGTGTATGGTTCAGGGGTGTAGTGCTGTGTATGGTTCAGGGGTGTAGTACTGTGTATGGTTCAGGGGTGTAGTGCTGTGTATGGTTCAGGGGTGTAGTGCTGTGTATGGTTCAGGGTGTAGTACTGTGGCTGTGTATGGTTCAGGGGTGTAGTGCTGTGTATGGTTCAGGGGTGTAGCACTGTGTATGGTTCAGGGTGTAGTGCTGTGTATGGTTCAGGGGTGTAGAGCTGTGTATGGTTTCAGGGGTGTAGTGCTGTGTATGGTTCAGGGGTTAGTACTGTGTATGGTTCAGGGGTGTGTACTGTGTATGGTTCAGGGGTGTAGTGCTGTATGGTTCAGGGGTGTAGTACTGTGGCTGTGTATGTTCAGGGGTGTAGTACTGTGGCTGTGTATGGTTCAGGGTGTAGTGCTGTGTATGGTTCAGGGGTGTAGTACTGTGTATGGTTCAGGGTGTAGTGCTGTGTATGGTTTCAGGGGTGTAGTGCTGTGTATGGTTCAGGGGTGTAGTACTGTGTCTGTGTAGTTCAGGGGTGTAGTGCTGTTATGGTTCAGGGTGTAGTGCTGTGTATGGTTCAGGGGTGTAGTGCTGTGTATGGTTCAGGGGTGTAGTACTGTGTATGGTTCAGGGGTGTAGTGCTGTGTATGGTTCAGGGGTGTAGAACTGTGGCTGTGTATGGTTCAGGGGTGTGTAATAACTGTGTACTGTGCTGTGGTGTGGCTCACACTGTACTGTGGTGTGGCTCACACTGTGCTGTGGTGTGTCACATGTGCTGTGGTGTGGCTCACTGTACTGTGGTGTGGCTCACACTGTACTGTGGTGTGGCTCACACTGTACTGTGGTGTGGCTCACACTGTACTGTGGTGTAGCTCACCTTGTACTGTGGTGTGGCTCACACTGTGCTGTGGTGTGGCTCACACTGTACTGTGGTGTGGCTCACACTGTACTGGTGTGTCACACTGTACTGTGGTGTGGCTCACACTGTACTGTGGCTCACATCTTCTGTTACTAGTTATATAGTGAGAAAATTTGAAATATTATAACTGAGACAACAGCTGGTGCTCTGTCTTAACTCTCGCCGTTGACATCCTGTTTTGTACCGATCCAATTTTTATTGGCTTGTTCATAGTTTGCTAGACACCGGGGCGACGATATAGAAGGTCTTTGGGCGCTGATCTCTTCGTAGTATCGGAGGGTGTCGGAGAGCTTCAGGTCTTAGATCTGCGCCACCGGCCCTCGACCTTCTGTTTGGAGACAGGCATGCAGTGGTGGTGTTTAATAATGTTACTAAGAACACAACACACACACTAGTATAGTCTATAAAGTCTCTCTAAGATACACACACAAATAAAATTAACAAATGACTGTAAGCAAATAAGTTTTCTATGTCTTAAATATACAGTACAGGTGTTCCTCTACTGGGCTAGGTTCATGAGGCTTGTTTATCAGTCCTTTTACTCTTGTATACACCCAACATATTATACTGTATACTTTAATAATAAATACACCATATTACTCAACAGACTCAACAGCATATCTTACTAGCCTTTAACAGTACTGTATCTTAATGTTTAAATATCTTATATTAATTTTACAGGCAGTACAGTACAGTTTGCTTAATCTCTCAATGTTCGTAAGTAATGGAACACCTGTATTCTAACTTAAAAAATACTTCAGCAATGTATTTAGCTTAAGTAACAACACCAAGACTTACCCGAGCCTTTTCAAAAATTGGCCACTTTGTTAATAAACTTTTCTAGTCTTGGTCCTTCAATGGTTCCAAGTTGTGACAAACAAGAGGAGAGTTTGATGTAGGAGTCAGCAACACCTGCCAGTAAATTAATAGATGTAACCATTGTCTTACAAGGTACAGTACAGTACAGTACAGTACAGTACAGTACAAACAAGAGAAGTTTGATGTAGGAGTCAGCAACACCTGCCAGTAAATTAATAGATGTAACCATTGTCTTACAAGGTACAGTACAGTACAGTACAGTACAGTACAGTACAGTACAGTACAGAACAATACAGTACAGTACAGTACAGAACAATACAGTACAGTACAGTACAATACAGTACAGTACAGTACAAACAAGAGGAGAGTTTGATGTAGGAGTCAACAACACCTGCCAGTAATTAATAGATGTAACCATTGTCTTACAAGGTACAGTACAGTACAGTACAGTACAGAACAATACAGTACAGTACAGTACAGAACAATACAGTACAGTACAGTACAATGCAGTACAGTACAGTACAGTACAATACAGAACAATACAGTACAGTACAGTACAGTACAGTACAGTACAAACAAGAGAGGAAGTTTGATGTAGGAGTCAGCAACACCTGCCAGTAAATTAATAGATGTAACCATTGTCTTACAAGGTACAGTACAGTACAGTACAGTTCAGTACAGTACAGTACAGTACAAACAAGAGGAGAGTTTGATGTAGGGTCAACACACCTGCCAGTAAATTAATAGATGTAACCATTGTCTTACAAGGTACAGTACAGTACAGTACAGTACAGTACAGTACAGTACAGTACAGTTCAGTACAGTACAGTACAAACAAGAGGAGAGTTTGATGTGAGAGTCAGCAACACCTGCCAGTAAATTAATAGATGTAACCATTGTCTTACAAGGTACAGTACAGTACAGTACAGTACAGTACAGTACAGTACAGTACAGTACAGTACAATGCAGTACAGTTCAGTACAGTACAGTACAGTACAAACAAGAGGAGAGTTTGATGTGAGTCAGCAACACCTGCCAGTAAATTAATAGATGTAACCATTGTCTTACAAGGTACAGTACAGTACAGTACAGTACAGTACAGTACAGTACAGTACAGTACATAGAACAATACAGTACAGTACAGAACAATACAGTACAGTACAGTACAGTACAGTACAGTACAAACAAGAAGGAGAGTTTGATGTAGGAGTCAGCAACACCTGCCAGTAAATTAATAGATGTAACCATTGTCTTACAAGGTACAGTACAGTACAGTACAGTACAGTACAGTACAGTTCAGTTCAGTACAGTTACAGTACAGTACAGTACAGTACAGAACAATACAGTACAGTACAGTACAGTACAGTACAGTACAAACAAGAGAGAGTTTGATGTGAGTCAGCAACACCTGCCAGTAAATTAATAGATGTAACCATTGTCTTACAAGGTACAGTACAGTATACAGTACAGTACAGTACAGTACAGTTCAGTACAGTACAGTTCAGTACAAACAAGAGGAGAGTTTGATGTAGGAGTCAGCAACACCTGCCAGTAAATTAATAGATGTAACCATTGTCTTACAAGGTACAGTACAGTACAGTACAGTACAATTACAGTACAGTACAGTTCAGTACAGTACAGTTCAGTACAAACAAGAGGAGAGTTTGATGTAGGAGTCAGCAACACCTGCCAGTAAATTAATAGATGTAACCATTGTCTTACAAGGTACAGTACAGTACAGTACAGTACAGTACAGTACAGTACAGTACAGTACAGTACAAACAAGAGGAGAATTTGATGTAGGAGTCAGCAACACTGCCAGTAAATTAATAGATGTAACCATTGTCTTACAAGGTACGGTACAGTACAGTACAGTACAGTACAGAACAGAACAGAACAGAATAGAACAGAACAGAACAGTACAGTACAGAACAGAACAGAACAGTACAGTACAGTACAGAACAGAACAGAACAGAACAGAACAGAACAGAACAGTACAGTACAGAACAGTACAGTACAGTACAGTACAGTACAGAACAATACAGTACAGAACAATACAGTACAGTAAAGTAAAGTACAGAACAATACAGTACAGTACAGTACAGAACAGCACAGCACAGTACAGTACAGTACAGAACAGCACAGTACAGAACAGTACAGTACAGTACAGTACAGTACAGAACAGTACAGTACAGAAAAGTACAGAACAGTACAGTACAGAACAGAACAGTACAGAAAAATACAGTACAGTGCAGAACAATACAGTACAGTACAGAACAATACAGTACAGTGCAGAACAATACAGTACAGTACAGAACAATACAGTACAGTACAGAACAATACAGTACAGTACAGAACAGTACAGTACAGTACAGAACAATACAGTACAGAACAGTACAGAACAGTACAGTACAGTACAGAACAGAACAGAACAGTACAGAACAGTACAGTACAGTACAGAACAGTACAGAACAGTACAGAACAATACAGTACAGTATAGTTCAGTACAGAACATTACAGAACAGTACAGTACAGAAAAGAAGAGAACAAAATAGTACAGTACAGTACAGTACAATACAGTGCAGAACAGTACAGAACAGTACAGTACAGAACAGTACAGTACAGTACAGAACAGTACAGTACAGAACAGTACAGTACAGTACAGAACAGAACAGCACAGAACAGTACAGAACAGAACAGTACAGTACAGTACAGTACAGAACAGTACAGTACAGTACAGAACAGAACAGTACAGTACAGAACAGTACTGTACAGTACAATACAGTACAGTACAGAACAAAACAGAACAGTACAGTACAGTACAGTACAGTACAGTACAGTACAGTACAGCACAGCACAGAACAGTACAGTACAGTACAATACAGTACAGTACAATACAGTACAGAACACTACAGAACAGTACAGTACAGTACAGCACAGAACAGTACAGTACAGTACAGTACAGAACAGTACAGTACAGTATAGTACAGCACAGAACAGAACAGAACAGAACAGAACAGTACAGTACAGTACAATACAGTACAGTACAGTAGAGAACAGTACTGTACAGTACAGTACAGTACAGCACAGCACAGCACAGCACAGAACAGAACAGAACAGTACAGTACAATACAGTACAGTACAGTACAGTATAGTACAGTACAGTATAGTATAGTATAGTACAGTACAGTACAGTACAGTACAGTACAGTTTTACCTGTATTTGATCATATCACTTAAACTTAAATGCCATAGGATACCCAACTTTTGCTCGTTAGGTACCATAGGATACCCAACTTTTGCTCGTTAGGTACCATAGGATGCCCAACTGTTGCTCGATAGGTACCATAGGATACCCAACTCTTGCTAGATAGGTACCATAGGATACCCAACTTTTGCTCGTTAGGTACCATAGGATACCCAACTTTTGCTAGATAGGTACCATAGGATACCCAACTTTTGCTAGATAGGTACCATAGGATACCCAACTTTTGCTAGATAGGTACCATAGGATACCCAACTTTTACAGATAGGTACCATAGATACCTAACTTTTTGCCCAAGTAGGGGTACCATAGATACCCAATTTTTGCCCGTTAGGGTACCATATAGGATACCTAACTTTTGCTCGTTAGGGTACCATAGGATACCCAATTTTTGCTAGATAGGTACTCTGTTATAGGATGTTCCAACTTTGCTAGATAGGTACTATAGGATACCCAACTTTTTGCTAGATAGGTACCATAGGATACCCAACTTTTGCTAGATAGGCACTACAGGATACCCAATCTCTTTGCTAGATAGGCACTATAGATACCTAACTTTGCCCAAGTAGGGGCACCATAGGATACCCAACTTTTTACCCGTTAGGGTACCATAGATACCCACCTTGCTCAAGTAGGGGTACTACAGGATGCCCAATCTCTTTTGCTCGATAGGTACCATAGATACCCAACTTGCTCGAGCAGGTACCATAGGATACCTAACTTTTGCTCATAGGTACCATAGATACCCAACTTTTAAGCATAGATAGGTACCAAGTAGGATACCCAATCTTGCTCGTTAGGGTACCATAGATACCCAACTTTTTGCTAGATAGGTACCATAGATACTCATCTTTTTGTTCTCGTTAGGTACCATAGGATACCCAACTTTTGCTCGATAGGTACCATAGGATACCCAACTTTTGCTAGATAGGTACCATAGGATACCCAACTTTTGCTAGATAGGTACCATAGGATACCCAACTTTTGCTAGATAGGTACCATAGGATACCCAACTTTTGCTATATAGGTACCATAGGATACCCAACTTTTGCTAGATAGTTACCATAGGATACCCAACTTTTGCTAGATAGGTACCATAGGATACCCAACTCTTGCTCGATAGGTACCATAGGATACCCAACTCTTGCTCGATAGGTACCATAGGATACCCAACTTTTGCTCGTTAGGTACCATAGGATACCCAACTTTTGCTCGTTAGGTACCATAGGATACCCAACTTTTGCTAGATAGGTACCATAGGATACCCAACTTTTGCTATATAGGTACCATAGGATACCCAACTTTTGCTAGATAGTTACCATAGGATACCCAACTTTTGCTAGATAGGTACCATAGGATACCCAACTCTTGCTCGATAGGTACCATAGGATACCCAACTCTTGCTCGATAGGTACCATAGGATACCCAACTTTTGCTCGTTAGGTACCATAGGATACCCAACTTTTGCTCGTTAGGTACCATAGGATACCCAACTTTTGCTCGTTAGGTACCATAGGATACCCAACTTTTGCTCGTTAGGTACCATAGGATACCCAACTTTTGCTCGTTAGGTATTCTAAGGAAATCACAAATTATAGGATTGGTTCATAACACAAGAGAACATGATGCCAGGTTGTTCAGCACCCAGACCCCTAATATTGTACCGTACTGTACTGTACTGTACCGTACTGTACTGTACTGTACTGTACTGTACTGTACTGTACTGTACTGTACTGTACTGTACCCCCTCTTGCTGTTGTGGGACTATGGAAGGTAGCTACTGGAACAGGCTTCATACAAGGTTTTAAGCAGCAGAACAGACTTTAGAAGTTAACTGTACACACTTACTTTTATGTGTCTGAGTCATCTTGTCAGCTTTTATAGTTGAGTCCTTTATTGCTGTGTGGTACTCCAGCAGAAAACCTTTCTCCTTCTCGAAGTAGTCGTCGACATCCTTCTGTGTGGCAGACAACAGGATCTCGTCGGTTGACTTGTTGAAACTCTTAAATAGCCCTTCCACCTTCTCTTTCTTGTTCTTCGTTCTGACTGAGAGCTGCAACAATTCCATAAGAGCATTACAGTACATCTTACCACCGGCATCTTTATTAAGTGTGGCTAACTCACGTCACAATCTGAAGGTCATTACTACGTTACTGTATTAGTCTAGGAACATTTTACCACGAGGGAAATTAATACATACAGTAACCTAATACAGGTAGTCCCCGACTTACGACTGACTCAACTTACGTCAATCCGCACTTACGACCTGCTGTGACCTTAAGACCGTTGGCACATACAACCGCCGCAGTCGTGGCCAAAATTTATTTCAAATGACGCCCGCATTTTCTATACCGAAACGTTTCCGTTCTGAGCGAGAGCGTGGCTGGCTTGGGTCACCGCGTGGGTACACTCACTCAGTACAGCGCTTAGTTGGTGTTTGGCAATCGTATCCTATACTGATCGCGCTGTGAACTTACGTTATTATCGTATTTAATTGACTTTATAATGACTGAAAAGCGTACAAGTGAGAGTGCTGGTGGTGCTCCAAAGAAAAGGAGACAGGCAATTACTTTTGAGATGAAAATGAAGATAATAATGCAATATGAGAATGGAAAAACTGTAGCAACAATCTCACGTGACCTAGGCTTCTCGCACTCAACCATATCCACTATTCTGAAGGACAAGGAACGTATTCGTGATGTAGTGAAAGGAACAACACCTATAAAGAGAACTATAATTTTGAAGAAAAGACAAGGTCCTATTCACGATATGGAAAAATTATTGGTGATATGGAAAGAAGACCAAATACAGAAGCGTGTACCCTTAAGCCTTCTAACCATACAGGCTAAAGCAAGAAGCCTGTTCCAAAGCCTGAAGGAGCAGGCAGGAGATGAATGTGAGCAAACCTTTACAGCAAGTCATGGGTGGTTTAATAGATTTAAAAAACGCTACAGTTTACACAATGTTAAGGTGAGTGGAGAGACAGCTAGTGCTGATGTTGGTGCTGCCGAAGCTTTTAAGGAGGAGTTAGATGATGTGATTGTGGAAGGGAATTATTTGCCTGAGCAAATATTCAATGTGGATGAGACTGGATTATTGTGGAAGCGCATGCCTGAGTGGACATACATCCACAAAGAGACGAAAACAATGCCAGGATTCAAGGCACTCAAGGGCAGAATTACACTTCTGTTGGGGGGGAATGTTGCTGGTTTCAAGCTAAAGCCCTTCATGATCTATTATTTAGAGAACCCCAGGGCTTTTAAACATGTCAGCAATCACACACTGCCAGTGTTTTATCGCAGTAACAAGAAAGCCTGGATGACCATTGTACTGTTTGAGGATTGGTTCATGACTTGTTTCATTCCTCGAGCCAAGGAGTATTGTCTGCAACAACGGATTCCAATCAAGATTTTGCTGATTTTGGATAATGCTCCGGGACACCCACCACACCTGGACGACATGCACCCTGATGTTAAGGTAGTGTACATTCCACCTAACACTACCTCTGTCATCCAACCCATGGATCAAGGTGCTATTGCTGCCTTTAAAACGTATTATTTACGTACAACCTTCGCTCAGGCTGTTGCTGCTACTGAAGGTGAGAAAATGCTCAGAGAGTTTTGGAAGGAGTACAACATTTTGTCATGTATAAAGAACATTAGTGCAGCATGGGATCAGGTTACAGGTCAGTGCATGAATGGAATATGGAAGAAAGTCCTGAAAAGATATGTGAACAGTTTTAGAGGATTTAATGAAAATGAAGTTATTTCGGATATTAGTAACAAGATAGTGGAGTTAGGTAAACAGCTTCAGTTAGAGGTTGATAATGAAGATGTTGAACAGTTGGTTGAAAGTGTAGCAGAAGAGCTCAGTAACGAAGATCTCATTGAACTGGAAGCACACAAAGATGCAGAGGAAGAAGCCAGTCTAAATGTAGAAGAAGGACCTGCACCCCCCAAAAAGTTTTCAGTGAAGCAAATGGCAAAGGCATTTGCTACAATTAATAAAGGAATGAAAATGTTTGATGGCATGAATCAAAATTATAAGCGTTATGCCAAAGTTGACAGAATGATCCAAGATGCACTTGCTTGCTACAGAGAAATTTATAATGAAAAGAAAAAGCAAACTGTGCAGCCTAAATTGGACATCTATTTTAAGAAGTCCCCCAGTGCTGTCTCCTCACGCCCCACCAGTGCTGCCTCTTCACTCCCTAAAGATGATCCAATACCTTCAACCAGCAAGTTTCCCCTGTACATAAACCTGTCTGAAGAAAGCGACATTGATGACCCACCCAGCCCTGTCTCCTCCTCTGTTTCTTCCAGTTAATGTAGTCTCCATGTATAATTAGAAAATTATGGGGGCCCCGTGTGCATTCAGCTGACTACATTAAAGGTAAGTGCGCAGTCACACTGTATCCATTCATCATTATTTATTACTTTTACTGTACTGTATTTCATTGTAGATTTTTTTTTTTTTTTTCTATGTCAGACTTACGACCTGGATTTGGGTCCCTAACCCCGTCGTAAGTCTGGGACTACCTGTAATGGTAACAACACTATATATCTCATGCTCATCTTTTTGTTAACATGACTAAATAGATTAAGTAAGCCATGCAGGACCCAACAATATATCCTGTACCTCTCCAACTCCTGCTGAAGGAAGTTCTATATAGTGAAGAGAGCTCACTAAATATTTCATAACTATTAACCAACTTGTTCACTGTCACTTCTTAACTACATAAATTACTTTCCCTTCTAAACACCAGCTGCCTGTCTCTCCTGTGAGTGGCATCACGGCCAGACAGAAGTGACACACTAAGTTTAGCATGAAATATGTTGGAAAAATAAAATTGAGGGGAATTTTAATGTTAACATTTTATAATCGTCTCGGTTTTCACGGCATTCCGCGAGTTTTTCACCCATTGGGATACCTGGGAAAACATAGGCCTCTTCATACGGCCTGTAATTTGTAGCTGATAGTGTAGCTATGCCTTTTCTTTGAATCCATTCTGTTAGGTTATTGAGGTTGAATAGTCATGGAATAGCACTATGCTACCCCAAGGAGGTTTGTGTTCAGACTGGTGAAGTCGGTTGGCTGCAGGTTGCTCCGCGCAGTTACGCATATGGTTTGTCAGAGCTCGGTCAGTACTAACAAAACAAAACAAAACAAAAATGGCTGCCTGGTTATTGGTGGGAAATCTGTAAACATCTATGACAATGAGTTGTTTGTCAGACCACTGTCGGTAGTTTCAAGAATTATCGCAGTCATTTACTGAATATTCCCTGTTTATTTATTATTGTTTTTACTGTTCTCTTTGTTAAATGGAATTATTCTGGTAATATACCATATATATTCATTCCGAAGTTGTTTGGATTCTTAAACCAGGGGGATACCAAGATCCCCAATCCTGACCTGCACCATATTGGACGCAGGGTCATTTGGAGGGTAAAATAAAATAAAAAAACAGCGCGTCCTATATGCTGCAGTATAACGGTATATTACAACATCTCTAAGAAGAACTATTGCAACAGTAATAATACAGTGTACTGCACCAAATGAGCTCGTGAGATTAACTTTCATGAAGTGTCCAATAATAGACCAAGAACAATTTTAACAGACCAAAACATGAGTGAAATTAGTCTATGTGGCTTGCTGCCAGTTGAAGATAAACAGCTTACAGCCCCCACTGATTATTCCTATAATTAAATAACAAAGAGACCGACTCACATCCTGTTCATATTCAAGGAACACCTTGAAGTTGTGGTCTGTCCTGAAGATGGGGTGTTGTGCTAGTCTGGTGAGGAACACTTCATGCATCGCCACCGTCTTCTTGAACGTTGCCAGGTACTCGCTGGGGACACAATAACACTCGGCATAAATATTAAATTATCTCTCTCCTCGACCACTGTTTCATCTATATATACAAACTGTTTGACCTTTAATTGGGAAGGTTAATATTCCTCCCGTTGTATCACAAAATATTATCTTATTTAATATACTCCTAAAATAAATCACAATTATTTAAAACAATGTGGAATGACCATCTCCCATAACCTGTCATCTGACCTCACACATTTAGTACAGTTTTTGTCTTTTACTTCACTTCTGTACAGCTGTGTGTGTGTGTGAGTGTTTATAAATCATGAAACAACAAGCTACTTCACTTGGCTTGACAGATTGGGCTGGGTTGGGTGACAAGATGGAGTACAGTATCTGTGTCTGCCAACAAAGAGGAACACTTGAAGCATCACTGACCTACTGTCCAATGTCTGACAAATTACATATATCAAAGCAAATTGAGTTTTAAACTGAGAAGAAGTTAATGCAGTACAGTATGTCTGAAGTTAATAACAAGTTTCTAGCACAATACTGTATAAGTATGACAGTACAGTACTAATGTTGCCTTACTGTAATAACCTATACAGTACAGTACTAATGTTGCCTTACTGTAATAACCTATACAGTACAGTACTAATGTTGCCTTACTGTAATAACCTATACAGTACAGTACTAATGTTGCCTTACTGTAATAACCTATACAGTACAGTACTAATGTTGCCTTACTGTGATAACCTATACAGTACAGTACTAATGTTGCCTTACTGTAATAACCTATACAGTACAGTACTAATGTTGCCTTACTGTAATAACCTATACAGTACAGTACTAATGTTGCCTTACTGTAATAACCTATACAGTACAGTACTAATGTTGCCTTACTGTAATAACCTATACAGTACAGTACTAATGTTGCCTTACTGTGATAACCTATACAGTACAGTACTAATGTTGCCTTACTGTAATAACCTATACAGTACAGTACTAATGTTGCCTTACTGTAATAACCTATACAGTACAGTACTAATGTTGCCTTACTGTAATAACCTATACAGTACAGTACTAATGTTGCCTTACTGTGATAACCTATACAGTACAGTACTAATGTTGCCTTACTGTGATAACCTATACAGTACAGTACTAATGTTGCCTTACTGTAATAACCTATACAGTACAGTACTAATGTTGATTCTATGAGATAGTAATGCAGTAAGGAAGGTGTTAGTCTTAACCTCAATTCACACGACCATTCTTGTGGATTGTGGAGACGGATATTGCAGAAATAGGATTACAGTACAGGCAGTCCTCATTTAATGAAAATTTGCTGAATAAACTTCAAATTTAAATGATTTATGTAACACTCTTGTACTGTACATACTGTAATGACTGTTAAGATTCATGCCAGAGCTACTGTACAGCACAAGTCATCTTGATATCACTCAAATAGCTAAATTCCCTTCACAGTACTGCACAGAATTGTTGTCTCTCCCAGCACACCAGGTTAGTCTCAGTCTATGCTACCTGCTGTGCTACAAGTGTGAGTACTTCACCAAACTTTCCCAAAACCCATCAATAAGTGTAGAAAATGACTGGCAAGTACTGCACGGTGCTGCCACTAGAGGTCTAGCTCATCGTGCTATTACTGTGTTGAAGCGTGGGGGAGCATTTGTTGCAGCCCTAGTGAAGAGTGACCCCAAGAGGTCGAGGCTCAGTATGGGGAACAAGGAAATAACGTAATGTGGTGATAAATATATTGTACAGGTAAAAACAACATCATTATGGCAGGAATTAAAAGAGTGTGAGGGAGGTGAAGGCTTTGGAAACACTGAAGGTGAGCCATGGCTGGTCTGAGGTGTGCACACCACCACAACATTCGTGTGACTGAGGTGGTGACGAGTGATGGCATCATACCGGCAGACGGCTTCCTTGATGACCATAAAAACAAAGATAAAACGACTTCACTGGTAGAACACGCCCTCGAAGACATTACAGTATTGTACTGTGCATCTCCATGGAGAAAAATGTTTTGGCTTTCAAAGTGGTCAAAGATCACTTAACCATTCTTCCTGAAGGCAACACAGAGGACATTAATCACTCCTGGTGTACAGTACAGTACAGAGGGTCCCCGGGTTATCCGTTCATGAGGGTGTGCTTAACTTGGATTTGTCCGTAAGTTGGAACACATGCTATATGTATACATGTCCTGTACTTGCAGAACAATGTTTAAAATCCAATTATATCATAGTGTAAGTCCTTTTATACATCTAAAATCACTTAATTTAAGACAAGGGAAGAAATAGAATGACAAAATACAGTAAATGAATGTAAACAATAAGTCATCAGGTAAATAAAATACAGTACTGTAAACTCCAACTTAAATCCCCATTCATATTGATAGGTGATGGTGTTACTACTGTACCACAAACCTGGGTGATGGTGTTACTACTGTACCACAAACCTGGGTGATGGTGTTACTACTGTACCACAAACCTGGGTGATGGTGTTACTACTGTACCACAAACCTGGGTGATGGTGTTACTACTGTACCACAAACCTGGGTGATGGTGTTACTACTGTACCACAAACCTGGGTGATGGTATTACTACTGTACCACAAACCTGGGTGATGGTATTACTACTGTACCACAAACCTGGGTGATGGTATTACTACTGTACCACAAACCTGGGTGATGGTGTTATGGGATCACATCTTTGTTGCTAAATATTGTACAGAATGTATCCACCACAAAGATATCATTAATAATGTTCCTTGGCCGACAAATTTTGCATCATGTTTTACACCAAACATGAAGTGACTGTTGCTACCCATGACAACACTCATGGCCAATTGCTGTACTGAGAGAGAGAGAGAGAGAGAGAGAGAGAGAGAGGAGAGAGAGAGAGAGAGAGAGAGAGAGAGAGAGAGAGAGAGAGAGAGAGAGAGAGAGAGAGAGAGAGAGAGAGAGAGAGAGAGAGAGAGAGAGAGAGGCAGAGAGAGAGAGAGGCAGAGAGAGAGAGAGAGAGGCAGAGAGAGAGAGAGAGAGAGGCAGAGAGACAGAGAGAGAGACAGAGAGAGAGAGAGAGAGAGAGAGAGAGAGAGAGAGAGAGAGAGAGAGGCAGAGAGAGAGGCAGAGAGAGAGAGAGAGAGAGAGAGGCAGAGAGAGAGAGGCAGAGAGAGAGAGAGAGAGAGAGAGAGAGAGAGAGAGAGAGAGAGAGAGAGAGAGAGAGAGAGAGAGAGATTTAATCATGCCTTTATCTACGTTGTTATTTGTCTCCCTTTTTACGTCATTAATCCTTAGTATTAAGGTCAGGGAGTCAGTAAGGTCAGGGGAGGTGAGTCAAGGTGGGAGGTCAGGGTCAGGGGAGGTCAGGGGTCAGGGAAGGCTGGGGAGGTCAGTAAGGTCAGGGGAGGCTGTAAGGTTGGGGAGGTCAGTAAGGTCAGGGGAGGTCAGGAGGTCAGGGAGGTAAGGTCAGGGGAGGCAGTAAGGTCAGGGTAGGTCAGTAAGGTGAGGGTAGGTCAGTGGAGGCAGTAAGGCCGATAAGGTCAGGGAGGCTGTAAGGTCAGGGGAGGTGAGGTCAGTGGTCAGTGAGGTCAGGAAGGTCAGTAAGGTCAGGAAAGGCTAAGATCAATAAGGTCAGGAGAGGCCACTAAGGTCAGTGGAGGTCAGTAAGGTCAGTGGAGGTCGTAGGGTCAGGTAGGTCAGTAAGGTCAGGTAGGGTCAGTAAGGTCAGGGTAGGCTGTAAGGTCAGGTAGGTCAGTAAGGTCAGGGGTGGCTGTAAGGTCAGGTAGGTCAGTAAGGTCAGGGGAGGCTGCAAGGTCAGGGGAGGTCAGTGGAGGTCAGGGGAGGTTAGTAAGGTCAGGGAGGTCAGGGGAGGTCAGTAAGGTCAGGGGAGGTCAGTGAGGCAGGGGAGGTCAGTAAGGTCAGGAGGTCAGTGAGGTCAGGGGAGGTCAGAGGATGTTAGTAAGGTCAGGGGAGGCCAGTAAGGTCAGGGGAGGTCAGTAAGGTCAGGTAGGTCAGTAAGGTCAGGTAGGCTGTAAGGTGAGGGTAGGTCAGTGGAGGCCAGTAAGCAACACAAGGTCAGGGAGGTGAGGTCAGTGGTCAGTGAGGTCAGGAAGGCAGTAAGGTCAGGAAAGGTATAAGATCAATAAGGTCAGGAGAGGTCAAGGTCAGTGGAGGTCAGTAAGGTCAGGGTAGGTCAGTAAGGTCAGGTAGGTCAGTAAGGTCAGGTTAGGTCAGTAAGGTCAGGTAGGTCGTAAGGTCAGGGTAGGTCAGTAAGGTCAGGGAGGCCAGTAGGGTCAGGAGGTGGTAAGGTTAGTAAGGTCAGGGGAGGTCAATAAGGTCACGGGAGGTCAGTAAGGTCAGGGGAGGTCAGTAAGGTCAGGGAGGTCAGTAAGGTCAGGGGGGGTCAGTAAGGCTGGGGGAGGTCAGGGGAGATCAGTAAGGTCACCGGAGGTCAGTAAGGTCAGGGGAGGTCAGTAAGGTCAGTGGAAGTCAGTAAGGTCAGTGGAAGTCAGTAAGGTCAGGGGAGGTCAGTAAGGTCAGGGGAGGTCAGTAAGGGGTGGCCAAACATCAGCACCCAGGCATGCATCTTCAAAATACTGTACAGCATCACAGCCAAAGGAAATTTTTCACCAACTGTATTTTCACTTCAGTTCTTTTCATCAACTGACGACTCTAACAATTATTACTATAATTTGTCTACTGTTAAACTTAAAGTAAGTGTATGAATGAAGCTCCAAAACCCTAACAGCAACACAGTACAGCACAGTACAGTACTGTACTGTACAGTACAGCACAGCACAGTACAGTACAGCACTGTACACTACAGTACAGTACAGACAGTACAGTCCAGTACAGCAAAGTACAGTACAGTACAGTACAGTACAGCAAAGTACAGTACAGTACAGCACAGCACCTGTACTGTACAGTACAGTACAGTACAGCACAGCACAGTACAGCACAGCACAGTATAGTAAAGCACAGTATAGTACAGCACAATACAGTACAGTACA